GAGAAATGGGAAAAATTTCCTTTTACAGACTGCTTTACACTGAGTACAGTTAAATGGGTACTAGTATCTACAACTGTTTAAATAAATTTAGAATTAAACTTGACCATTACATGCCTGATCTGTGCGTGTTTATGGCAATGTTTCTATTTTTCCCACTGGCTGACTCTGTTTAGCTTCAAACTTTAAAAAAAATTATCTTCTTTATTTAAGAACACTTTGGTAGTAATGATCACACAAATTTACATACACTAGAAAAGCAGGGAAAAAAAGCATGTAATAAAATACTTTAGAATCAATATATTTTGCAAATTATAAAGAGGCTAGAGTGGAATTTCATGTGGAAAAGACTAAGTCATAGTATTTATTATGCTAAGTGTATGTTAAGTAAAAACATGTCTTTTAGCATAGAAATACTTACAAACATGTACCCTACAGACTTGGGGGGGGGCCTATTCTGTGACTTGTGGGCTGCTTAACCAGCATCCAATTCAACCTCCAGTAACAACTAACATTGTGCACAGACATAGATTATTGTCCCCTGACAGATGATATTTCCATGCATATTTAATGACTGGTATATAGTCAAATAGATTAAATTATTTTAATAGCACATTTAACACTTCAAAATCTGTATCCATATTATAAAAATGAATAGTTTTCCCATTATTTAAAATGCCCTGATAAAGTTGGAAGTTTTGGGGTAAGGTTTAACGAATTAAAGATGTTTATAGGCCGGGCGCTGTGGCTCACGCCTGTAATCCTAGCTCTTGGGAGGCCGAGGCGGGCGGATTGCTCAAGGTCAGGAGTTCAAAACCAGCCTGAGCAAGAGCGAGACCCCGTCTCTACTATAAATAGAAAGAAATTAATTGGCCAACTGATATATATATAAAAAAATTAGCCGGGCATGGTGGCGCATGCCTGTAGTCCCAGCTAGTCGGGAGGCTGAGGCAGAAGGATCACTCAAGCCCAGGAGATTGAGGTTGCTGTGAGCTAGGCTGATGCCATGGCACTCACTCTAGCCTGGACAACAAAGTGAGACTCTGTCTCAAAAAAAAAAATAAAATAAAATAAAATAAAATAAAATAAAAAATAAAGATGTTTATAAACACTTACTTTATTCTCAGTGCTCAGTCAGATGTGCTTGACTGATAATGCAATTCCAGTATGTTGCATTGTTTCTCTCTCTGGCTTTGTAATAAACTGATGTGGGACTAAAAGGTGGAGATGCAAGTTTGTCTCCTGTGTAAATTGTTATATATAAAATTTATTCCAGGAAGTTCATAAAGTAGATTAGCTGCAGTACACTGCGTGGGTTGTAATGCAAAGAGATCACACACACACACACACAATGGCTCAACAGAGCAGATATTTACTTCTCATTCATAGAATGTAAAAAGGGGAGTCATCTTAGGGTAGCAGTGGGAAGGTATCTGCTCTCCTATCAACTTCTTTCTTAAACCACAGCAAGCTCTTCCACTGATGGCTCTTAATGCCACCCTCGGGGTCATCTGAACATAAGTCTCAGAAGGCATGAGAAACCAAAGACCATGTAGCCTTTTTTTTTATTGCCAGGCCTGGAAGTAGGGTTCTTGCCCACTGTAACAAAAGGCTGAGAAATGTAGGCCACGTTTGTGTCTGAGAGAAAAGAGAAGAATGTCTCTAATAGTCTATCCCATAAAAGTTTTCTCCCTTGCATGAATTCTGTGATGTCTGCTCAGGTTTGACTTCTGGCCAAAGGTTTTCCCACATTCATTACATTCATAGGGTTTCGCACCAGGGTGAGTCCTGTGATGTTTAGTGAGGTCTGAATTAGAGTAGAAGGTTTTCCTATATTCTTTACACTCATATGGTTTCTCACCTGTAGGAGTGCCCTTATGATTCTTGATGGATGCCTTCCAGCCAAAGGATTTTCCACATTCACTACATTCATAGGGGTACATTCCCCTGAGCAAGTTCTCTGATGCTCTGATGCATATTGAGGGATGACATCAAGTAAAATGTTCTCCAACATTTACGCCATTCATAGGGTTTTTCCCCAGTGTGAATTCTCTGGTGTCTAGTGAAACCTGATTTGTCACAGAACATTTTCTCATATTCGTTATGTTCATAGGGTTTCTCTCCTGTGTGGATTCTGTAATGTACAATATGGGTTGGCTTCTGGGAAAAGGTTTTTCAACATTTCTAACATCCATGTTGTTTTTTACCTGTGTGGATTCTCTGATGCCTCCTGAGTTCTGATTTCTGAATATAGGATTTATCACATTCACTACATGTAAAAGGCTTCCTCCTTGTATGTATTCTCAAATGTATTACAAGGTCTGATTTCAAAGTTTTTCTGATATTCACTACACTTATAAAGTTTGTCTCTTGTATTTTTTTTTTTATGTCTAACGAGGTTAGACTTCTAGAGAAAGTTTTCCCACATGCATGACATTCAAAAGTTTTCCTCCCTATGTATGTCTTGAGCAATGTGAGCTGAGTGAGCTGACTTAGCACGGGCTTTTCCACATTCATTACATCTGCATGACGTCTGCCCCATATACATGCTCTTACGTCTTACGTGTTAGGAATGTTGCCAGTGCTCAAGGCTTTCCCTTGTCCATTCTACTCAAAATGTTCCTGCCCATCTTCAGTTTTGTGCTGCTAAGATCCTTGTTTCCTCTGAGGGTCTCCCAGTTATATCATAAGCTGTTGGGTTTCTTTCCAGCCTTCACTATATCAGGATCATTACGGTGAAGCATGTTCTGACATGCATTGAAATTCTCAAGCCTCACTGCTGAATAGTTTCCATTATTTATCATTGGTTTGGGTACATAATTTGGGCTCAAGTGACACATTTTTCCTAATTCAACTCTCTCCTTAGTTAATGTGTTGCTGTTGGTGATTACAACTTGCCACAAGGTCTACTGTGACTTTCATGGCTCTTCCTCATCAGGTTGTCAATTGTCCGGACATCTGAAATGAGAAAAAATAAACATATCCATGAACCACACATAAGCTTTTCTTATGCAATATTCATGCAAAGTTAAAGAAGCTTGCCCTATCTTAGTGGCATAAGATTTCATAAAAATCAGTCTTGGAGGCCGGGCGTGGTGGCGCACGCCTGTAATCCTAGCACTCTGGGAGGCCGAGGTGGGAGGATCGCCTAATGTCAGGAGTTCGAAACCAGCATGAGCAAGAGTGAGACCTCATCTCTACTAAAAGTAGAAAGAGATTAATTGGACAACTAAAAATATATAGAAAAAATTAGCTGGGCATGGTGGCGAATGCCTATAGTCCCAGCTACCTGGGAGGCTGAGGCAGAAGGATTGCTTGAGCCCAGGAGTTAGAGGTTGCTGTGAGCTAGGCTGACGCCACGGCACTCACTCTAGCCGGGGCAACAAAAGTGAGACTCTGTCTCAAAAAAAAAAAAAAAAAAATCAGTCTTAGTTTTAAACTATGATTTTTTTTCCTATAGACTTAACATAATAAATTACATTAGTGTCTTTTCTTATGTTAAATAGTGCTTTCCATTGCTTCAGTGTTTTTCCTTGTTAATTCGTGAAGAAATATTTAGTAAAAATATTCACCTACTGCCTGGCTGTAGTTTGGATCTAAGTGCTTGTCAGCTGCCATTTGCATTTTCTATTCTTTTTCTCTATTTTATTCTTAGAACAATGGTGGGTATCTCATACTGATATTTTTCTCAGTATTCAGCTTTGAAGATAGCAAGGTTTTTCTGGATTAACTGTTTGCAGGTGTAAGAGAGAGGGCCATTTGTCTGTGACATAAGCAGGAATAAGGCTTGGGGACTGGATTTGCATACATATTTGTTTAGTGTTAACTCTTCCCTAGAAAATGACTATAGGTTCCTGGGCAGTTTTTAAATACAAACTCTCTTCATGCACAGGCTAAATGAAGAAAGCTTCTTGCAAATTCCTAATTTAATATGACTTCCTCTACTTCAGAGAGCCCTAAGTGGCACAGGAATCTCTAGTGGACCACACTGGCCAACCCCTCCCTGCCACTCTAAAGGATTTCCTTTGACTATGAAGGTTGTGCCCATTATCTCTGGAATGTTTATTTTGGGCTTCTACTCAAACCAATACTCTGGTATTCTTCCCTCCAATTCCTGTTAAATTACTGTTCTTAAAGGCTTTTATTTTGTGCATTGGAAGTTCAGCTGTCTCCTATTTTCATTGAAAACAAAGTCTCCTATATATTTCTCATTCTGTCATTTTACAATAATTTCCACAAATAGAAGTGGAAAATGATAACTTTCCTATACTCAGGAAATCTGACCCTTCACCCTGAAATCCTTAGTTCCCTTGGTCTTGAAACTGAGAATCTCCTACCTCTCCTCAAGTCTATGTCCACTCCTTTCCATGTTCCTAAGCTGGGTCCTTCTCCCTTTCACGACTTCTCATGTTGTGGTACACAAAGCTCACTTCTGGAGTTCTTTTCTCAATTTCTTGTGAATTCTCTAAGTGCTCTCCTTTATGAATAAAACCTCAAAAGTCAGCTTTAAACTATCAATTTATGATATACATGTCAAGACTCAAATCTACATTGGATATGCACCTATGTATTTTATGCCAAAATTGAAAAAGAGTTACTTAAAATTAAAGCTATCCAATGCAAGTACTTAATATTCCCCATCCAACCACTTTTTCTGACCATCCTATTTATCATATCCCATTTTTCTCTATCAAAGTCACTCTTGTTAAATATTCTTCATAATTCTTATCCAACTACTTTAGATGATGTTCTTTTTTTCTCTCATCAGAATGTAAACTCTATGAGAAAGGGACATTATTTTAATCATTGCTATTAGTACAAGTTCAAAATTATCACTGCTTAAAATTTATCAGTTAAGATGTGCTAGAAGAATAAATGAATGTGTGAATAAATGTCTGAAAAAAACACAGTCCAGAAGATTGCAGAGTGTTTTGAACAGGACAATTTAGGACCAAATCATGCCAGCTCTCTCATGACTCCAGTCCGTTTGCCTTCTCTCTTAGCAACACTTCCAGAATCCTCTGTGTGTTTCCAAGAGCAAGAAAAAATGAATAAATCTCCAGTAAGTTGCTTGCTTATTTATTTTTCACCATGTTTACATTGTCTGTTATGAGCTGCATGGGGTTCATGAATTAAAATGGAAAAGTAGAAATTAGTAAAACTCAGCTTCAGGAAAATGTACATAAATAACATAAAGTTGGCATGTTGGTATAGGTAGATTATAAGACCTTCAGGTCATCTCAATTGTTAATCATAGCCACTTTGTTGTGCTATAAAATAATGTTCATTCTATCTAACCATCTAACCATAATTTTGCACCTATTTAACCATCCTCACTTCATCCCCACCTCCGTGCTATCCTTCAAAGCCTCTGGTAACCATCATTCTACTCTCTGTCTCCATGAGATCAATTGTTTTTATATTTAGCTACTACATATAAGTGAGAACATGTGAGATTTGTCTTTCTGTGCTTGGCTTATTTCATTTAACATAATGTTCTCCTGTTCCACCCATGTTGTTTCAAATGGCAGGATTTCATTCTTTTTTATGGCCATGTTAGTATTCCATTGGGTGTATGTACCACAATAACTTTATCTGTTCATCCATTTATGGACACTTAGGTTGATTCCAAATCTTGGTTATTGTGAATAGGGCTGTAATAAACATGGGAATACAGATATCTTTTTGATATACTGAATTCCATTCTTTTGGATATAGGGCATTGCTGGGGCATCTGGTAGTTTTATATTTAGTTTTATGAGGAAGCTCCATACTGTTCTTCATGGTGGTTGCACTAATTTCCATTCCCAATAACAGTACTATGAGGTTCCCCTTTCCCCACATCCTCACCAGCATTCGTTATTGCCTGTCTTTTTGATAAAAGCCATTTTAACCTGGGTGAGATGACATATCATTGTAATTTTGGTTTGTATTTCTCTGATGACTATTGATGTTGAGCACTTTTTCATATACCTGTTGATCATTTGTATGTCCTCTTTTGACAAATGTGTATTCCAATTCTTTGTTCATTTGTAATCAGATTATTTGATATATTAATATTCCTATGAGTTGTTTGAGCTTTTTATATATCCTAGTTGTTAATCCCTTGTCATATGAGTAGTCTGCAAATATTTTCTCCCATTCTGTCGGTTGTCTTTTTGTTGATTGTTTCCTTTGCTGTGTAGAAGCTTTTTACCTTGATGTGATCCCATTTGTCCAATATTGTTTTGGTTGCCTTTGCTTTGAGGATATTACTCAAGAAGTCTTTGTCCACATAAATGTGAACATTTTTTAATACACACTAGTCATTTGTTGTGGGGCGCGGTGGCAACGCCATTCCTAGATGGCGCCAGCTTCCCGGTCACACCCTACTGTGCGTCTGACAAACAGATGTTCAGCGCATGTGCAAAGCCTTGCCTCCTCTCCTGTTCTGTGTTGACCGATCAGGTTATGCCCCGTGTATTTACTGTCTATATAAGCAGCCGCCGAGAACGCCTCGGCGTCTTCCGCGTGTAACCAGCTAAGCAATCCCCATTAAAACGCTGTCAGAAGAACTCCAATTGCCGTGTCTTCCTTGCTGGCGAGGGGGCGCGACAATGCTCAAAGGACCCTGTACAAGGATGTGATGCTGGACACCTACAACAGCCTGGTATCCTTGGGTGAGTGAACTTCCCCAAGTAGCAACACATTTTTCTCTGTTGGTAAATCTAGAAATCAGTTATAAGGTTTAAGGTATTTGGATGTAAGATTCCAGTCCGTGAAGAATGTTGAGTTTCACCTCTCTTTAATGAAGAGTTTATATTGGCATTGTATAGTACACCTCTTCAAACTGAATTGTTGTCATTCTTCAAAAGACCTGATGTAGCAGTTTGGCCAAGTTCTACATTTTTTCCCATTAACAGGACATTGCATTACAAAACCTGAAGTAATCTTCAAGTTGGAGCAAGGAGCAGAGCCATGCGTGGGAGAAGAACCCACAAAACTGAGACTCCCAGGTTAGTCATTGCATACAAGGTAGGAAGACTGAGAAGAGCAGCAGACAGCAGATGGTGGTGGTGTTGACCTGTTCCGACCAATTTTTCAGCATATCCCAAACGTGAGGATACCTAGCCTGTGCACATCAAATCATGTGCATTCTATTATGCATAATGAAGGCTCTTACGTGTGTATGTCCACCTTAGTTTTTCTGAATATGTTCTTACCCAAAATCTAATGCCTACCTTCCACTTCTAAGATATTTTTCTAGGTTATATACATTCTTAACGTTCTCAGTTGCCTTCTTTCTTCCCTTCGAGAGAAAAAGAAACATATTTGTTAAGTGATTGAATAAAAAACATGAGGAATATTTAACTGCAGTGTGAGAGTGAGAAAAGTGGGATGTGATAAATTAAGAAAGATGGTCAGAAAACCATGAATGAATGTGGGAAAACCTTCAGTGACAAGTCAGGTATCACTACGTCAGAGAAGGCACACAGGGGAAAAAACCCTACAAGTGTAGTAAATGTTGGAGAACATTCCGTATGAAGTCAGTCCTCACAGTCCATCAGAGAACTCACACACAGAAAAAACCCTAATGAATGTAATGAATGTGGAAAAATGGTTTGGCCAGAAATCACACCTCAGGAACCATCAGAATGTTCACACTGGTGAGAAACCATATGAATGTAAGGAATGTAGAAAAACTTACTGCTGCAAATCAGATCTCAGGGTACATCAGAGAACTCACAGTGGTCAGAAACCCTATGAATGTAGAGAATGTGGAAAAACCTTTGACCGGATGTGGACCCTCACTAGACATCAGAGCATTCACACCGGTGAGAAACACTATGAATGTAGGAAAACCTTTGGCTGGAGGTGGACCCTCACTAGACATCAGAGCATTCTCACTGGTGAGAAACACTATGAATGTAGGAAAACCTTTGGCTGGAGGTGGACCCTCACTTGACATCAGAGCATTCTCACTGGTGAGAAACACTATGAATGTAATGAATGTGGGAAAACCTTTGGCTGGAAGTCAGACCTCACTGTGCATCAGGGTATTCACAGAGGTGAGAAACCGTATGAGTGTCAGGAATGTAGAAAAACTTTCTACCATAATTCAGACCTCACCAGACATCAAAGAACTCACACTGGTGAGAAACCGTATGAATGTGGTAATTGTGGAAGAACTTTTTTCCAGAAGTCAACCCTCAGGATGCATCGGGATATTCATACAGATGAGAAACCATATGAATGTAAAGAATGTAAAAGAACTTTCTCCCATAAGTCAGTCCTCACCATACACTGGTGAGAGTATGCAGTGACTGTGGGAAAACCTTTGGCCGGAAGTCAAACCTCAGCAGACATCAGAGAATTCACACACGGGAGAAATATCGTATGGGAGAGAGTGACTATTTGATCTCCAAAAACCATTCTCTTTTCTTTGGCACATGCACATAACCTGCATTTCTCAGCGTCCTATTGTTGTGTGCAGGGCCATGTGACACTGAGCTCTGTCCAGGGGAATATGGACAGAGTGATGAACATTACTTCCCGGCCTGGCCACAGAAAAATGCCTATAAGGTCTTCCCTGAATTTTCACACCATGTGTGACTAATGTTCAGATAATCCCCAGGGCGGTCTTGGGGGCCATCAGATGGACAAGCTCAGTATGATTTAAGAAATCTCCCTTTTATACTTAGATGAATGAGAAATAAGTACCTGCTCTCTTGAGCCATCATGTGGTCTCTTTCCATTATAACACAGCCCATTCTAGCTAATTCACTTTATGAAATTCCTGAAACTGCAATAGATCTATAGATTCCTTAGAAAATATCTGGATATTAGATAAGTATGACACATGTTTCCTCCCAAGTTTAAAATATCTGGGTAATTCCTATTTGGATATTTTACCCTGAGTCATATAATCTGGTAGACATACCCCTCAAATTTTCCAATTTTTGGTGTAGTGTAACTTTCTACTTTTTTTTTTTTTTTTTTCACATCAGACGGGTAATGTGCCGATGTCGTAACAAGGTTTGAGGGAGGCACATCTCACGCATGCGCGTGAAAACCCAATCATCACGCTTATGAACTACAAAAGGATCAACTTTCTACTTTTTAATGGTATCTTTTCATGGCCAGAAGATCTTTAGTATAGTCTTAATTTATGCACATCTTCCTTTATGATTACTGCCTTTCAAAGGACTTTTAGCAAATCCTTATATACCCTAGAGCAAAAAGCTATTATAAAATATTACCTTCTAAAAGTTTTTTCCATAGAGGTGGTACGAGTAAAAAATAAAAAAAAAATAAAAATAAAAATAAAAATAAAAAATAAAAGTTTTATAGTTTTCCCCTTACATTTATTATGTCTTTAGTCCATGTGGAATTGACTTTGAGGAATAGCACAAGGTAAAGATCCAATTTCATTCACATTTTCCCATGTATACCAAATTGTCCTAGTAGCATTTATTTAAAAATCTGTCCATCCCTACTCATCAGTCACACCCTGCCAAAAATGAAGTGTCCTTATATTCATGGATTTTCTCCTGGCATCTGATCTCTATTTATATGCAAATATCATACTGTCTTTATTAATAAAGTACCATAAGAAATGTTGATTTATAATAAGTCAAGTCTTCCTACATTGCCCTTTTGGTAATGTGGCTTCATTATTCTTGGTCTTGTGATATTCTATACACATTTTAGAATCAGCCTTTCAAATTTTATATACATAGACACATACAAATACACATGCACACACAAACAAAACCTGTTGGGATTTTCATTGAGTTTACACTGACTCCATTTGGGAAAGTGATACCTTTACTATATTTCTTATAATCCAAGAACACTGCATATCTCTTCATTTGTTTGGGTCTTCTTAAAATGCCTCTCTTTAAGTTTTATAATTTTCTCTGCAAAAGTCTTGCTCATGTTTCGTCGGGCTTATTCATAGGCACCTCATTTTTAAAAATGCTATTGTAAATGGCATATTTTTTTATTTCTAAGATTTTTTACTGATACGCAGAAGTGTCTATTGCATCCTTATTTTTAAAAGATACATTAGCTAGGTATAGAGTCCTAGATTGACTCCCCCACCTGCCAGCACATTAAAGATATGATTCAACTTTGTTTTGGCTTTTATTAGTAGAAAATTAATTATAATTTTTTGGCAGATAGTCTTTATCAGAGGATATTTAAAAAAATTCTTTGTCTCAGGCATTTGTCAGCTTAATTATATTGTGTCTACAATTTTATTTATGCTTCTTGGATTCAATGGGCTTTATGAATCTGTGAGTTGGTGTCTTCTGACAGTGTTCGGCAAATTCTTAGCTGTCATGTCCTTAAATATTGCCTCTTCCCAATTTTTTCTTCTCTCTTTCTGGGACTCTAACTAATTAAACATATCATAGACTTCAAACTGTGTCCTCAATCACTTTCCTTCATAGTTTGCACCTCTCTGTCTCTCTGGACCTATGTAAATAATTTCTTCAGCTCTTGATTCCAGTTCCCTAGTTCACTTTGCAGTTGTGTCTAATCCATTGTTAAATCCATCAGCCAAGTTTTTTTAAATTTCAGTGATAGTTCTCATTTCTATAAATTTTATTTTGTGCTTTTCCAAATCTGGTAATTTTAAAGATAGTTTTCTGTTCTCTTCAGATATTTTTAACTTTGCTTTTTATTTCTTAAAACAAAATAACCATATTATGTATATTTTGGTCTGCAGAATCCAATACCTGAAGCCTTTCTGGGTCTGTTTCTACTTCAGTTTCTGTTGGTTCTCACAATGGTTTGTGTCCATGTATGGTTAGTCATTTTCCATTGGGAGCTGCTAGTTTTTTTAGTAGTTTTACTAATGAGACATCTTTGAGGCCTAGGACGAAAATTGGTTCTCCAGAGGAAATTCTGCCTGGCACCTGGGAATGGCCAGTCCAGAATGGTGTTCCAGACCCTCAGCTTTAGGACGTTTGGTCACCCACCTAGCACAAAGTGAGGGACAGCCTGGTGTTCCAGACCCTCAGTAGTGATTTTTCTCTTCTCCTTTCAGCTCTAAGGTTTGAGCCAGCTAATTTATTCCCGATTCCTTTGGGGGTGGAGAAGTGGGTTACTTCCATTTCACTACTACAAGGAGGGAATGGCCATTGGAGGTCTCACCTGTCTGAGATACTGACTGGCTTCCCATTTGGGCTGTGCTCTAAGCTGCGCCTTCACTTTCTACTTCCTGTGAAGCTGCGAAGATCACATTCCCTAGGTCTGGCAAAGGCTCTCAGGGCAAAGGCCACCTGCAGTGCCCTCTGGGCTTCTCTTGGGGTTTCTACCTCACCCTCATCCCTGGACTGAGAATTCCGTATGTCTTCCCGGTTCATGGGGGCTTCAAGAACACTCGCACCCACATGGGCACACGCACATCCAAGAACACACGGTCAGTGTTGGTCAGTCCAAGAAGCAACTGGCTGTTTGATTAGGACCTGCAGGCTCTGGCTCCATTTTTCTAA